TGCATACCCTAGGATAAATATGAAGGTAACTGCACACACAGGAGAGTTTTTTAATGACCCAAACCACTGTCTGTGTAACAAGCCTGCCTGGACCCGCCAGATCATGCTCAAAGAGTCACTCAGCACATACATGAAAGCCTGTGTCACCGCCATCATCTCCATCGTCATGCTGCTGGTAGTCATGGAGAAGGCTCCGCTGGCTTCTTGAGCTCTTCTGCATGAAAAGCGAGCTGTTAATGCCCATGCAATCTTGTGTCCTCGTATAACGGACCTGTCTGTGAAGATCAGCACATCTGTCTCGTCTGACTTGTCACTGATAAGCGCGCATACCTTGGCATAGACAGCAGCCGGATTCTGCTCCCGACAATAGGAATAAACTCACAGGGAGCAAGTACAGCAGGGATCTACCAGTCATCAGTAGAAATTATCCTCGTCAACGAGCGTTTCGGCCCACGATTCCTAAACGCTTTCGGAGATGGGCCCACCTGAGTTCATGAAGCTCAGGGCTGGTTCCCTGCTGCACGAAATTACCGGATGGTGTTTTTCTTTCGGATAGAGACAAGACGACTTGGTGGTTTGAAGAAGGTACTGTGAGATAAGAAGTCGTCGCGGCAGCCTAATTAGATCAGTCAGCGTGCCTGGACGACCGAGCGACAAGCTTACGTTTGGTTTACCGGACACATGTTGAACTTTGTTAGCAGATGGCAGAGGAACACTGGCAGACAATTCGGACACGATAGACTTTCAAAGGGTTAGAAACCCTTTTCCACTAGACACCCGGACCAGCTCACCGAGGCCCGTCCCCTACGTTGTTGCGTTGCGTCCAAAGCCAGCTAGAGGCCCTTTCGGCTACCTCTCCCAGTTTTTTTGAGTGTTCGTTTCCCTTCATTACCGCGCAATCCTAGTTCTTTAAGCACATTGTAGAGCGAAGTGGAAACGAGGCCTCTCGCTCCCACTTCGACGGCAAAGACCCGTACTGTGTACGCCTCGTTTCTCCTCAGACCGGCTGCTAAATCACTGTATTTCTCGAGCTTATACAGGTGATTTTCATCCATACGCGACTCATACGGGACGGTGAGCTCTATCAGGATGAGCTGCCGTTTCTCCGCAGAGTGGAGGACTATGTCAGGTCGCAGACCGGTCTTCCGGATTAACTCCGGGTACCGTTCATGGCCTGGCAGATCAACCGCCAGTAACCAGTCCCTCGCAGAGTCTAGCACAGATGGAGCGAATGCGTTTCGGTTGACCTTACCTTTTTGAACCTGCCCAGCCTTGAGGAAACGAATGGGGACGATGCTAGAACTGGCCATTGCGTTGGCCCTCATTCTAGCCTGGTCAACAACGGCTGCTAACTCTTTTAGCACCTTGTTGTGTCGCCAGGTGCATCGGCCTTGACCTAGGGCTTTCCTGCACGCTGACAGGACGTGTTCTAGAGTCTGCTTCGATTTACACAACGGGCAAGTCGGATCGTTGGTCGCAGACCATTTAACCATGTTAACACCGGACGGTAATACGCCGTACGCCGAACGAACGATAAAGCTCAGTCGCAGCGGGGTCATCCGCCAGATCTCACCCTATGTGAGTATTCTTGGCAATGCGCTCTCCAGGCTGACCCAATGGCCCTGCTGCGACTGCTGGGCTGCTTTCTGGACCCGAACCTCGTTTTCGTTGTCCCTCACCGTTTGTATTACCATGTCTCGGCGCTCTTTGGCTGAGGCCTTTGACCACCAATTGACCTTTTCGTGCCCTAGGCCTCGACGGTCGGTTTGAGTGTATCCCATTATCTCCTTCAATTTTAGTGCGTTCTTGGCAGATTATATCGCATCGAGGACTCTCCACTTCTGGCCATTCTTTAGAGCGGGCTGGACAGCGATGACATTTGGGTCTGAAGACTCGCGCAAGAGCATGGCGAGTCTTACCTTGCGGACTTTAAACTCTTCGGTTATAGATTTGAACGGGAGTACCAGCTTAGCCTGCTTGCAATACAGAGCCACGTCGGTCAGACAAGGCAGTGCACCAATCCACTTTCTCAAGGCTGTGTTGATTTTCTTCTCCATGGTTTCCACTGCAGTCATCGTTACCTCGTAGACTAACAGTGGCCATAGGAGCTTTGGAATCAACATGAATTGGAGACACCATACCTTGAATTTCCCGATCAGCCTGCATCGCTCGATAGCGAGCAGGCCTGTAGCCAGTGACTCGTGTATTCGCCGGACTTCCGCTCTATCAGATAACTTCGAATCGTAAACGCGACCAAGGCTCCTCACCGGTTCCTCCAGAACCGTGGGGATCTTGTTCCTTGCCACCTTAAAACTGGTTGCCGACACCTTGCCCTTATGGATTGACAGACTCCTCGACTTCTGCGGTTTGAACTGCATTCCGCTCCATTGGAGCACCGCGTCCAAACTTTTCAGGATCGTGCGGGCAGATTCCTCGCTGCCCGTTACAATAGTCGTGTCATCCATAAATGCCCGTAGTGGCGGCATCCAGTAGTCCCCAATTTGAAGGCTCTGTCCGTAGCCGGCCGCCCCGTCTAACATGATCTGCATTGCCATGACAAACAGTATGGGTGAGATCGTACACCCCATAGCTATCCCAATCTGCAACTCAGTCCACCTCGTGGTAAACGTCGAGGTAGAGAAGCGCAAAGCGAACTTAGAGAAATATTGCTCGATCATTTGATTGATCTGTGCCGGTACGTGAAACATGCGAAGGGCTCGCCACAGTAGCCTATGGGGGACTGCCTAGAAGGCTTTGGCTAAGTCCAACCATATTACGTGCAATTGTGTTCTCTCATGCTTGGCTCTCTGGATAGCCTCCCAAATCATGGTCGCGTGTTCAAGGCACCCAGGAACGCCTGGAATACCACCCTTCTG